AAGGGTGCTCCTTTGTATATTCTGAGGCCGTGTGAATGCACTCAAAAGTAGATGATGCTACAGACTGCTTAAAAAAGGTGCCTATATTGTATGCATACATGCATAGCATGAAATCTGATGGACTTTAAATGAAAAATTCTTGCTTTTATGAGTCAGAAAAGAACAGATACAAAGAGCAAAAGTGAAGGAAGTACTTAATCAGCAAAGGGAATTTGGCTGATTCTGAGTGCTTTGAAGTAAGTTTAATGTGAAGATTGGTGATCACTTGTTCTCAGCATTTAATTTCTTATTGTATAGCCTGTGCAGCATGAAAGTGCAAGTGGGAAGCATGAGTTCAGTAAGCGCTGGAAGTATCTGGAAGCTGGTGGAAGCACGTCTGCATGCTGGAAGCAGACTTTCACAGTCATTTAATCCCAAGCAGCACTAGTGGGCACAGTGCATTTCCCACTCTGATGTCCTTGATTGACTTTACTCGTAAATTTACAGAGGTATCTCTATAACACATTACAAGAGCAGGAAATTGAATTAATAAAAATGTATTATTTCCTCCAGTAGTTTAGGATTTTAAATATAAAATACTTCTTCTTTTTTTATAGTAATGGACTATTTCTGAGAGAACCACTTTTCTCATGGTTAAAATCATCATCATTTTATGCATTATTGCTAATGTTCATGATGTTTATACTCGCAACTCATAGATCATATAATTGATGGATTCTTTTTTTTCTTTTTTTTTTTTTTTTTAATTATTTATAACTTACTTCTGTGTGTTCTTCTTGATGATTCTGGACAGGAATGAAAATCGTGGTTTCTACCAGACAGCTAATCAAAAATAAACTAGATTCAGGATAAAAAAAGGCAAGGATAAAGGATGCCTAACTTACCTTCCAGTTACTTCTGAGAATAGCCATGAGAAGAAATTTTCTCCTGGAGGGTATCAGCTCTTCTTGCAGTGCAAAAGTGGAACTGCCAGATGTTTTTAGACATTCAAAAAACATGGTACTATAAAATCAGGGAAAAGTTTTGAGGCAGGTTCCAGAACTAATCTTTTACATGATCTAACGTTGTGTTTTCTTCTCGTCTCTTGTTAAATTTAGGCACACAGCGAAGCCATTAGCATGTAATGTGGATCATGTATGTTTCACAGATTTTCAGAGGATACGGAGTAATACACATTTTTGGTATAACTCTTCAGTTACTTTTTCATTCATGAGTGTAATATGTTTATGCAGAAGGATCTGCAGAAATGTCTACAGTTCTTGAGCCTCCCTAAATTGATTTGGCGTACGGTAATTCAGATGACACAGGACATAAAACATTTCTGTACCACATTGACAGAGCTGTATTTTAGATGCTGGTCTCAAGAACCCTTCTCTCCTCTCCGACTGGTGACTGGGAGCAGTAATACAGACCATAGAATCTGTTCAGATCATCGTACTTCTTCTGTTTTCATCTTCTCTTCCGGTTCACTTTCTCTGCATGCTGTAGCACTATGAGAACTACAGTTCCAAGACACATTTGGAGGCATGTGTTGGCTTCAGGCTAGCAACATGGGTAGAGAATAATTGTATATTGAAGCAGTCAGGGAAGAGTAGTCTGTTACTTTGGTAACACACTGACGGACCCTTCAGAGAGAGACCATCTCTCTGTGCAATAATCCTGCTTCTCTCTGTGCAGGGAACTCACTGAAGTCTGTTCTGTAAGTTAGGTCAGGATGTCTGGATCACGTTACCATGAGTTTAGAGGGAATATGGGCTCTATGTACTCTTGCTCCCTCCTCAGACTGTGCTGTGGAGGGACTTACAGCTGTCATTTCATGGCAGGAGTAAGTAGGTGGGGATGGGAAAGAGGCAAGGATACCTTGTTCCCAAATGTTTTGTTGGGTTAAACCAGGAGTTTGATATGGATCGCTTGCCTACCAACTTTTAGCCTTGAAATCACAATACTGATACTTGCAAGAAGCAACAGGAATGAAAGAAAGAACCTTCCTGCCCAACGAACCATTTTTTAGGCTGTAGTTAAAACTGTTTGTCATTGGTCATTGTAAGGTCAGAGCTAAAAACAGAGAAAGTGCAACAAGCTGTGCCTGTGGTTCAGAGATGATTGGTCAGTGGGCTGACGGGTACAGTTGACCTCTCTCTTTCAGTGCCATCCCATCAGCTGGTTGTGGGGACATACTGTTATTGTTGAAAATATACCTAAGGCTCTTCCTGTTTTATTCTGTGCTGGCAGCAGTTCTACTTTAGCTTAGGTTTGCTACTGTGTGGATTCATGCTCTACAGTGACTTCAGTCTGGATGTCAAGTGTGGGAGCAGTCTTTAACTTCCCAAGATTCCCAATCTGTAGCCAGCAAACATGAAAGTTCTGGCTGTTATCAACCTCTTTTAAATAAAAAACGTTAAAGCTATCATGCAGAAGTTACATACGCCCAAGGCATCTTTCTGCAGGGGAGATGTGACACACAGACATGGCCTCTTCCAGAAATTAAGACACATGAACAATTTCCACTTTTTCTGCATGAAGTAAGAGAGGACCTTGTCTCATGTAAGAAAGAGAAGACAAGCAGGAAGGTAGTAGTTACAACACAGAGAAGAACAGTGCTGCTAACTGTGTTTGTGTGCCTGTTCAGTTATCTATCAAAAGAAAGAAAGAAGCATATGCAGTAGAGCAGTAAATAGAAGGTTGAGGGAAGGCGTTCTTCAAATACCTGAAGAGGGCCTACAAGAAATCTGGAGGGGAGTTCTAGAAGGGCAAGTAGGGATAGGACAAAGGGGGAATGGCTTTAAACTGACAGAGGGAAGACTTAGATTAGCTACTGCCAAAAAAAATTTCATTGTGAGGGTGCTGAGGCGCTGGCACAGGGTGCCCAGAGAAGCTGTGGCTGCCCCATCCCTGGCAGTGTTCAAGGCCAGGTTGGACACAGGGGCTTGGAGCAACCGGGTCTGGTGGATGGGGAGCTGAAATTTAACATGCAGGCACTGCAGGTGGAACTTGGGAAATGAGGTAACTACTGATATACTTAATTTTTTACATGATTGCCTGGCCTTTCTTCTTACAGATGCAACTTTGACACAATAGTCCAGTGACTAGTCAGCCTGCCCTATAAAATCAGGGACTGCAGTGAAGATAGATACATCTTCCAGGTTCCAGCTGGGTTAAAAAACATAACAGAAAAAGAAGGTCAAATAACTCAGACTTTATGAATATCCAGGGAAGATTGAAACCTGTGGAATGAAAAGAAATGGGCAAAGATTTGTGATGATGCTTTTATTCCTTGAGCAGCAGGAGGAAAGCCACATCTACCAATTTCCTGGTTTAGCCTTTGTATAGGCATCCCGGCTGTATAGATTGATGCTTGATAGTGTGTTTCAGGTCCGATGTCAAAAGTAGCCTTGATTTATAATTCAAAAAGAAACATGAGCATTTTTGTATTTCATGTTTAAGAATCAAAAGTCTTGATTTCTTTTGTCTTAAAACAAAAACTATACAGGCAGTAACTAATCCCAGATGCGCAAACACATGTGACTTTGAGTCCTGAACCTGTGAAACGTTATGGGTGTAACTGAGGCTTCAAAATAAGGCCAACCTCTGGCTTTTAAACTTCGGCTTTCATTGGAAAAGGGGAAGGAAAGAGTTTCTACATTTAAAAACTGTTGGGCAAGCTCTGGAGTGACAGTCACAGTTACTTATTTGTACAGGTTTGCTATGGGATGTACTGGGCCTCTGGCAATCAGAGTGGAGGCAGAAGGTATGTGGTAGAGGGGACTTTGAAGCACGCTGTGTGGAGATATGCCTTTGGGCTCCAAGAAGATAGAACCCATAGTTGCTTATTTTTTAAGAAAACTTTTCCTCCATTCACATGATTTCCCTCTTGTCCTTATCCTCTTACCCTCATACTGGCTTTCCCAATTGTTCAGAGAAACAGCCTGAACCTTGGAGTGTTTCAAAAGGGTTTTAAAACTTGTCTGTCCTTGTAAGTTTGAATACAGCAGCTGCAGGAACAGTGTTGCTGTGTTTTTTCTGCTCCAGAACAAGTTAAGAAGGCTGCACTGACCACAGCAAGAACGTGAAGGGGAAACAAAGCCGTAAGAATGGGATTCTTCAAACTCCTGTCACATTCCTAGTGTGGGTTGGGATGTCAGCAGATCTTTTGCTTTGAATTTAGTAGTGCTCTGTATATGTTGAAGTGGAAGGGCTATATAATGGTTTTGCAATGTTAGCAATTCTTGCAAAAATGCTGACACACGAGGGACCAAGGCCATGTCTGGTTGCTTGTGTCTCTTAGATCATGGCAGATGGAGGCATAAACTAAGCCTGTGTAGTCCAGATGGATATCAAAGGCCCTGTAGCTCAGTCAGAACTGGGAGGTTACAGAAGGATACAGAAGTTACAGCATGAGAAATGTTGCAGGCTTTGTTAAGCAGGTCTATTGTACGATCACAATAGCTTGCTATAATTCATGAAAAGCTACTTATTTCTTCCATTGGAAGCCTGCCCAGAGGGATTTGTAGTCTGAGTCAAGAGTGGACCACACAGTCCAGCCCATCTGATGGATTGTGTAATATGACTGTGGAATCGCAGCTAGGAACAGAATTACACTTTGCACTTATGAAGCAGCTTCCCTTCAGGGCTTGTTCTCTGGGGAATGGATGCAAACCAGAAGAACAAGATGCAACTCTTTCTAATGTATCATGTTTGGCAAATTGACTTTTGACCTTTCAGTGGCTTTATACAAATCTGCCTCAGTATACAGGATTTCAGATTATTAGGAAGTAAATATTTTTTCTGTTCCCCCTTGGACCGTTACGCCTTCGTAAGGTACAAAGCAACCTTGATACATGAAGCAAAATAAATGCTGAAAACCTGTTGTTTTTGTATTTTTGCAGTGTAATGACTGCCTTACAAGAAAAAGTCAGGAATGGTGATATGGAAAGAGTCTGTTTTATTTGTGATTTCCAGTACTGGACAGTAGACATTAACTCTTTTGTGCTTATTTTCAGACTGGATATTTCCATCTGCCCCATGGGGATTACTTCATTGAGCCCATTAAAAGGCATCCACAGAAGGAGGGAACACCCCATCCCCATATTGTCTATGGGGCAAATATCCTTCAAAATGCTTTAAGGAGAAGACGGGCAATCCTGATGGAAAAACAACAACCGTGTGGATTGAATGGTACAAATATTGTTGGCTTTATCCCTGTTTGCTTTCTGCATCCTTTTAAGCAGCTTTTATTTTCCAGTGTTGTGTGCCTTTCCTTCTGCCAGGCTTTTTAAAATTCTTTAAAAAGAGATTATGCAGAATGAGAGAATTTCAGTCAAAACACATCAGGAGTGACCCATCTGGGTTCTTTTTGAAAACTTCAATCCCCCTTGAGGCTGGGATATGTTTTTCACACGTTGATCCTTTCTACCCCTGACTGTTTTTTCTGCAACCGTAACTTTTTGGCAAGTTTGACTTGAATTCTTGAGTACTTGTGGGATGATGAGAATTGCAGTCATTATTTTTAACAAAGCAATTCTTGCTCCATGCAGATGCTGGCCTCAGCATAAGATATTCCTCCTCTAATCCATGGTTTAAGTTTAGGATTTCTAGATTCTCTGTGATAGTTACCAGAATATTTAAAGACTTTTATTTGGTTGTTCTGAAAGTGGAGTGCAGGTCATCAACAACAATGTGTATTTGTAGAAGTATGATTAAAAATCACTTAAATATTGGTGCAGTAATACTTGGCATCATGTCTTTTGGGAAAATAAGCTAATACACTATCCTGGAAAGGCAGATTGTATCTAGAGTATGGCTGGCATCTTAAAATTACACAATGAGTAACTTTATTTATTGAAATAATTTCCTTAATTGACTTCATACCAAAAATTACAGAGCTTCCATTGGTTCTCTGATGTCGGAGGCCTTCAAGCTGAGTCTGCACCAAACTTTAGAAAAGGTACAGTATTGGTAGGGAGAACAAATAATAACCTAAATAATGTAAGCCCTGAGTTACGTACAAATAGAAATGCAGAGTATGTAGGGGTGTGTTTCTGTCTTTCACAGGTTAATTGTTAGAGTAGCTGGTTCTTTTCGAGGGGTTGGAAAAAAAAAGAGGAATGTAGGAATTTTTAATCCTTTGTCACTACTACTGCTGAAGTTTTACTGTGTAATATGTACTGTGTAATATGAATTGATAAATTAACAGAAGGAAACAGCAAGTCAGCTCCACTGAATTTCATGTGACAGGATATAACAATCACTGGTTCCTCTAAAGGCCCTAACTTGTAATGTGTATGGTACGTTCTGTTATCTCACCTCTGTTGTAGCCAGCTCGTCAACAAGGTTAGTAAAAAAGAAAGACATTGGCCTCATCTCTTTACACTGTACAGTGTCAGGGCAATTGCTCTTGTTAGAAGTGAAATACAGAACAAAAAAGGAAAGTGAGACAATTCTTGCTTTCTGTGCTAAATACACTCACTGCGCGGGTTTTGGGGAATAGTTGGTGCATAAATAAATTTTAAAGGGGGAAGATGACTCTTTTCAAGACCTTTACACTTCATGCTGTAAAATTTGATACCAGAAGCCTAGTACACCCACACGATATCACATGTCCTTTTGGGATCACTTTGAAACAAAATTACTTCAATTTACAGTTTACATTCAGTTGTAGAAAGGAATTATGTTTTATAGATTAAATATCATGACCAGTTTGTATTCTCAGCACTAACTTTGTCCTCACTGGGATGGGGCTTAACTGATGGAAGAGTTGCTTGCCATATCTCTTGTAGGAACTGGTTTTCAGAATCAAGTATTTTACCTTGTGGGCCAAGTTTGAGCATACGGATTGTATACTTTTGTTTATTTGAGCTCTGATTCTGTTTGTTTTTTAAACTTACGACAGTTGAGTAATTTCTAAGACTTATGCTTGGGAAACATTTTGTGTACCCAGGCAAAAAAGTAGTGGTGAGTTTTGCTTGGGTGCTTTCAAGTCAGCACACAAAGTTGGGTAGTGGTAATAGTAATCTTTTAGAACTAACCTGTCTGTCAGTCAAGGAATATAAAAAACAATTGTATCAGCAAAATCAAAAGAGGAATTCATGTGGGAGGAATAGATAGAGTATGCTGACCTCCTGTGCAGTCTTTTTTAAGGTTGGGTTTTTTTTTATGCAAGGACCATGTTACCCCTTGGAAGAAGCCCTGTACAGCATGTTCATGACTTTTACTGTGGCAACAACCACATGAATCTCCAGGCTCCAACCTGTCATCCGTCTCATCTACGTACTTAGCATCAGTTACATTCCTGTACTTCTGAAGTGATTAAATCAGTTTATAATTTGCAGTATCTTTAACAGTTGTAGATAGCTGAAGATAAATTCCTGTGGTAAATGACGCAAATTATAACTTAGGTTTGTGCTGTACGCTTCCACTGCTGCTTAGACAACTGCCAGATGACTCAGCAATTAGCTGCATTCAAATGTGAGTGCTAAACTTGTAGGTAGCATTATGATACTGTACATTGCAAGATGTTGTCTTTATAATTTGAAATCTCTGTGAGAAATAGCAAAAATGCCAAATGAAAAGTGGCCCAGAGCTTTATAAATAACTTCTCTAATCATTTATATCTGTAAGAGAGGAAACTAGGGGGGTTTGTTTTGTTTTTCTAAACAGGTTATCTTAAAAACTTGACTATGCCTCAAGTTAAAATGCAAGAGAGAAGGAACTAGCCTCCCTTCTACAGAGTAAGAAAGTATCTCCTCCCATTTCTTTGATTTCATGCAGTCTGACATTTGTTTGTGAACTGCAAAATGGAGAAGTTTTGTGAAGTTTATGGATGAAAATGCTGTTATGTAACAAAGCCGTTCTTCACTAAGAACAAACGGGACTGTTATGATAAAAATAGATGGACATCTTTTTCTTGGACTGATGAGATGGTCAGTTTGCTCTTTGCTCAGTAGAGCAGGGTAATTGAGTTTATTCAGACTGCGATTCAGTGATTGCAGCAGTAGGCTGTATAAATTGGTTTAGGGTATTAAAATAGATTTCTGAGAATACTTCATTGGAGCTTTCAGTGAACAGAAGTTGTCATGTACTTTACCCTCATTTTGGCATTGAAAAGATTTGGTAGATGAATTCCACACTGATCAGAAGTTATGATTAGTTTAGGTAGTACGTGGACCTTCAACTCATTGTCTGTACTTACAAATCTTATAATTGAAATATTTGCTTTTCAGTGTTGGAACTAGATGATTTTACGGCACTTTCCAACCCTAACTGTCCTATGGTTCTAATTCTGCATTGGAGCTGTGATGGGGTAAGGCTGGGGTGGGAGGCAGGAGACAGAGGTCAGGTGTTGTGTGAAATGAGTAGAGGGGTGAGGTGAGCTGCAGGAGCAGAGCAACATCATCTGTGCAAAACTGGTTTTTGTCTTTTGAATGATGTCTGGGTGGCATAGTTAATTTAGCAGGTCACTAGAACGCCATTAATCTGTTTCAGACAATAGTTACCTGTTGTTCTTCCTAAGAGTTATGCCTGATGTAGAATTATACTCAGTTACGGTCTTGCTTTTTGATGATTAGCTTGATACTGCCAGAGCATTCTCCTCATTTTTTCTGTCTGCAAGTGTACAGTATAAACTCTTAGTCTTGGCCTTTGACAGTGAAGTTCTTTGTTTAGCCACTTGGAAGAGGGAGGGAAGAAAAAGAAAAACCCAGGACACTGTTTTGTGGCCAATGGAAGCTGCCTTGCTTGCTGGCAGAACCCCTGGTTCATACTGTGTAACTTCCCTGTCTTTCGGAGGATGATGCTGACATTCTTCTGGTATTTGTTTATCCTGTATTAAACCACATCAGTTACTTCTCAGCTAAATTTGCTTAGTTTCTCCAAAACATAGAGAGTATTATTGCATAATTTCATTCAAATCATGCATTGAATCGTAGTAACTGAGATCAGTTCAATATACGCAATGAAAAGCAACCTTCTCCCTGTATCCCTCTGCTTTCTACAAAGAGGCTCTACTAATCTGCTAAAAGATGTTTGCCATGAAAAAAGAGCGAATAGAGACATTCAGTTAGAATGATATCTATTTTAAAGCAGGAACATAAACCAGACAACTTGCAGGAGTACATGGAATATCTCTCATCTCTGAAACAGTCTGCATTGGACTGAAAACATGAAAGCCTGCATGTGCAGACAGCAGGAGATTTAGCATTTCAGGGGTAGGGTACCTGGAAACAAAGACGTGATGCCTGGTTTGTTCTAGCAATGCTAGAATTGCTACTAACTGTTGTCAAGAGATGTCCCCCCTCACCGTGCCCCCAAATGAAACAAAAGCAGAAGATTCTAACTTTCTTGTTTTTCTTTTCCCTCCTGTTTCTGAAAGTCTCTGGATCCTGTGCTGGAAAGATAAGACTCCTTCAGTGTTTTGTTTCTCATATCTGGCACTGAGTTTAAGAAGACTTCTGTGTTCATTTCACTTTGCTGTCAAAAATCCTGTTACTTCTAACAAATTAGTAGGTGCAAGTGTGTAGCCTTGCTAGGCAATGAAAAAGAATGTGGTGGGTTGACCCTGGCTGGAGGCCACGTGCCCACCAGACTGCTTTGTCACTCCTTAGCTGGATGAGAAGGGAAGATAGTAATGAAAGGCTCATGGGTTGAGATAAGGAGAGGGAGAGATCACTCATCAAGGACAAAGGAGGTGATCCTGCCCCTCTGCTCTGGTCTTATGAGACCCCACTTGCAGCACTGTGTACAGTTCTGGTGTCCTCAGCATAAGAAGGACATGGAGCTGTTGGAGCAAGTCCAGAGGAGTGGCACGAGGATGATCAGGGGGCTGGAGCACCTCCCGTATGAAGACAGGCTGAGAAAGTTGGGGCTGTTCAGCCTGGAGAAGAGAAGCTGCGTGGAGACCTCAGAGCAGCCTTCCAATATCTGAAGGGGGCCTACAAGGATGCTGGGGAGGGACTTTCATCAGGGACTGCAGTGGTAGGACAAGGCGTAATGGGTTCAAACTAAAACAGGGGAAGGTAAGGTTAGATATAAGGAAGAAGTTCTTTACTGTGAGGGTGGTGAGGCACTGGAATGGGTTGCCCAAAGAAGTGGTAAATCCCTGGCAGTGTTCAAGGCCAGGCTGGACAGAGCCTTGTGTGACTTGGTCTAGTGTGAGGTGTCCCTGCCCGTGGCAGGGGGGT